AGCAGAGGGAGAGGGAGGGCACTGCACTGGGTGCTGGTCCCGGGAGATGAGTGAGGAGTCAGCGGGGCCCACTGACCCACCAGGCACTCAGACTGCCATGGCGGAGAGAGCTCCTCGCCCCCGCCGGGTCCTGATAGCAGGAAGTGTCTTGGGTGCCACTGGAGTGAGGATTGGGGGCCCCCGTGGGAAAATTCTGTGTGACAGAAGGTTTTATTCCCGTGGAATCAAACCCCTGAGTCCCCAAGTTCCCATTCCCCTTCGTCCCGCCAAGAACCAAGTCCCACGTATGGTTCAGCGGGGCGGCTCTACGCCAGGGCCCGGAGTTCCCATCCACGTTGGCCACAGGCCCAGCCCAGCATCAGGCCGGCTTAGGCTGCTCCCCGCCGTGGTCTGTCCGTTCCCTGCCTGTGGGTCTGCAGGGCCACGTGGATGGGGAGGGGCAACGCCAAAGGAACAAGAGAGCCAAGAGCCGAGAGAGAGAGAGAGAGAGAGAGAGAGAGAGAGAGAGAGAGAGAGAGCGCTCCTTGGTCCAGGGGACGGTGTGCTCCCCAGTTTTCTCGGGCTCGCATTGGCCCTGCCCCTCTGGCCAATGGTTTCTGTTCCCAGGTTTGACGGACAGGCACCTTTGCTATGTCCCCCCAACATCCCTATCCCTATGTAGGTCTTTATCTCCTCTTTGTCCAGACACCCTCCCAACCCGCTCCCCCTCCCCAGCCCCCCACTCCTCTTTGTCTATAGGGAATGTGGGAGGTGCCCTGCAGAGGGCCAATGGCAGCTTCCTGGTGAAGGGCCTGAGTGACCGTGTCTGCTATGTCTGGCCTTCCCTTTGCTCCTTTCCTTTGATTAATCGCCACCGAGTTGCCATGGTAGCAAGACCACCCACATCTCTGAGTCAGACTTGGACCCTGGGTGAAGCCCATGTTCACTCTACACATGGGTTGACGCCAATATCATTGGGCTGGGTGAGGCCTCACACCCCCCTCTGTATCCATCACCCCCAAGGGCGGGTGCAGAGCCCGAGACCGGACGTGTGCCTGCGGGGACACGATGAGGGGGACAAGGTCTTAGCAACCAACCAATGGACATTGTGGAGGAAAATGGGAAGACGTTGTCACACCCGCGGGTACAAGGCAAAGAGGCGCTGGCTGAAGGGGCGACAGCACATGTCACCCTGGGTGAGGCCGGGTGGCCGGGAGGAAGCTTGACGGCCCAGGCTGGGGGGACACAGAGAAGTTTTAGTCTCACTTCCCCGTGACCCTGCAGCGCCGTGTGAGTGTTGGGGTCCTCATGCCACACAGCACAGTAATAGTCAGCCTCGTCCTCGGGCTGCAGCCCCGAGATGAGCAGGAGCCCCGCATTGGCTGAGGCGTCTTTGGATCCAGAGAAGCGGCTGGGGACCCCGGAGCCCTGGTTCTTATCTGAGTCTGACTTATATCTCAGGAGAAACCGGGGAGGGCTCCCTGGCTTCTGCTGGAACCAGCGTATATAGTAGCCACCAACATTGAAGCCACTGCTCAGGGTGCAGGTGAGTCTGGCTGTGGCTCCCAGAGATGCAGAGAGGGAGGGCGGCTGAGTCAGCACAGGCTGGGAGAGGGACCCTGCAGACACAGACACTTGTCAGTGATGGGCAGGGACCAGGGGACCTTTCCCAGGAGCCTGAGCAGGAAGGGAAGGAGCCTGGTCCCAGGCCTGTCCCTACCTGTGCAGTGAGAGAGGAGCGCGAGGAGCAGAGGAGTCCAGGCCATGGTGCTCACAGCCCTGAGCCCACAGTGGGGCTGGGCTGCCCAGGCCTCCTTTTCTCCCCCACCCTCTGCCAGAGGAGGGGCTGCCATGCAAATGGGGGTCCCTCCAGGGACTGCCCAGCCCCTCCCTGGGCCCTGGGGCTGGAGCTCAGCTCACACCCCAGACTGAGGGGCATGGAGGTGGGCTCACCCCTTGGGGGCCCTGGGAGGAAGCACCTGCTGAGACAGCACAACTGTCCCCACTCAGGGGACTCTGCCATCCAGAGCAGACTCAGCCGCTGAGTCTCCAGCAGTGAGCACAGGGCCCAGCCTTGAGGCCCAGGTGTTTTGAGTGAACAGTCTTCACTGAGCAGCTGTGCAGGGATCACAGGGCAACCCAACAGTGCCCCCTGCTGGTCATGTAGAAATGGAAACTTGCAATAACTGAGTTATAAAGTCTAGTAAAAATAGATAAAATATACACTTTCCTTGGAAGATACAAAATTGGCTCTGAAAGAAGTAAAGTAATTAAATGGACAAATTTTAGTAGAAAAATTAAAAAATGTAATGTCACCACTCCACTGAAGAGCATAAGATACAGACATTTCAAAGGGAACTCTACCAAACCCTCAGAGATCAGGATGTCATAGATCATTTGTTTTAATATTGATAAACGCAGCTTACACATAAATTATACAAAATGGGAAATTACAGACCAATAGCATTAAATATTCCTACACATGTTTAAAATGAAATATTAACAGATGGCCCAGTGCTATTATGAAGTGTGATTTATCCCAATGATACAAGTTTTTCTTTATATTAATAAAATTTCAAATATAACACAACATACTAACCCATCAGTAAATATGATCATACTAGAGGCCCAGTGCACGAAATTCCTGCACCAGGGGTAGGTGAGGGTACCTTAGCCCTGCCTGTACTCTCTCCCAGTCTGGGACCCCTCGGGGGATGTCCGACTGCCAGCTTAGGCCCAATATCAGGGGATTGGCCTAAGCCAGCAGTCAGACATCCCTCTTATAGTCCGGGATCCCACTTGCAGTCTGGGACCCATCGCTCCTTACCACCCGCCTGCTCGCTGCTCCTTAGCACTTCTGCAGAGGCGGGGAGGCTCCTGTCACTGTCACTGAGCTCACCAGCTGTGAGCCCAGCTTCTGGCTGAGCAGTGTTCCACCCATGGGAGCGCACTGACCAGCAGGCACCAGCTGACTGGGACAGCTCCTGCCTTGAGCACCTACCCCAAGGTGGTCAGTTCACATCATAAGTACTGGCTGGTCAGACAGTTCTTAGCCTTTTATATATATACACTAGTGGCCCGGTGCACAAAATTCATGCATGGGGGGTCTCTCAGCCCGGCCTGCACCCTCTCCAATCTGGGACCTCTTGGGGGATAACTGGCAGTCAGACATGCCTCTCGCAATCCGGGACCACTGGTTGCTAACCGCTCATCTGCCCGCCTGCCTGATCACCTCTAACCACTCTGCCTGCCGGCCTGCTCAACCCCAACTGCCCCCCTTGCCATCCTGCTCACCCCCAACTGTGCCCCCGCCATGCTGCTCACACCCAATTGCCCTCCCATCTGGCCTGATCCCCCTAACCGCCTCTGCCTCGACCCTGCCACCATGGCTTTGTCCAGAAGGACATCCGGAAGGTCTCCTGGTCTAATTAGCATATTACCCTTTTATTAGTATAGACTAGAGGACAGAAGCACAAAATTCGTGCACTCGGGGGCTCCCTCAGTCCAGCCTGCACCCTCTTGCAGAAAAGGAGCCCTTGGGGCCTAAGCTGTCAGTTGGACATCCTTAGCACTACTATGAAAGTGGGTGAGGCTCCCACCACCTGCGCTGCACTCACCAGCTAAGAGCCCGACTTCTGGCTGAGCAGCACTCCCCCTGTGGGAGTGCAATGGCCACCAGGGAGCAGCTCCTGCGTTGAGTGTCTGCCCCCTGGTGGTCATTGGGCATCATAGCGAAGAGTCATTCCACCGTTTGGTCAATTGCATATTAGCTTTTATTATATAGGAGAGATAGATCATATTATTACATCAACAGACAAACTCATATTATTTCAATCGAAATTCTGACAGAGCCATTCACCAAATGTAAAACATATTTCTAATAAAAACACATACAGATGGAAACGGAGACGTTTACAATATGGAAACTTCACTCGCTCCACAGACATGAGACTTAATCCTGCAGCAGCTCTTAGCTAATGGGCGGGAGGAGGACATCACAACCATCAGGAACAGGCCGTGTGACTCTCACTCCGTTATGAGTCAGCGTGACTCTGCACGTTTAGACAATGAAGGAAACAGGAAGAGACCAGTGGTTAGACCTTAGCATGGATGGGAATGGACAGGAGTCATTCCCACAACCCCTACGGTCTGATACAGAAACCGGACAATCCATGGGCCGCGCTGCCTGTCCATCCTGGAGCCAATTCAGCAGAGACAGGGAGGAATCATATGAGCGTTGATTCCCATCCTGCCCGCAGCCTGGGAGAGCAGCGGGTCACCCACAGAAATCTGCTCTGCCCCCCATAAGCCCACTGCTTGTATTGGGGAGAAGGACAAGGATTACAGGGACGTAGACCAAGGGTGTCCCAAATGGGCGGTTCATAGGTAATGGGGGCAGGAGATTCGCAAAGGCCTGTGGGTGTGCAAAGGGCTGGCAGCTCTGGGTTCTGCAACCAGGCTGGTCATCTTCCCATGATCAAGGCAGCTCCCTGATGGGAAGGATGGGTAACATTCCCAGGTGAGCGCCCAGGTCCCAGAAGCAACTCTCAGCCAGGTGAGAAGGTGCCTCCTTTAATCAGAACAAAACAGTCATGGTTAACAGGGCAGGATTCCTATTTCTTAGAATTCCAGCTGGTCCCCAACATTCCATTTGGGCCCCTGTCAGTACAGCCTGGGACCTAGTGGACACTATGGATGTGCTCGACTCAGACACAGCTGGACCCTGGGGCCCTGGTCCTGCCCTGACCCATCGTGGACTCGGACCCAGGGCAGCTGCCCCAGCATCCGGGAGTTTCTGCTCCATTTGAGGAAATCCAGGCTGGAGGGGAGGGGGCAGATGGAAAGAATGGGGACAGGTTTTCTGAACCAAGTTCCCTGAAGTGGGTCTCAGGCCGCGGTGTCGGGCAAGCACAGGAAGCAGCTGGCTTCTCGGGGGAGTGGGGTCTGCTGGGGGAGCCCCGTTTCAAGAGGAACAGCAGGTTTTTGTCTCAGTTCCTCACAGGCCTGGAGCACTGTGTAACCATTAAGAGTCTTGTCCCATGCTAAGCAGTAATAGTCGGCCTCATCCTCAGCCTGCAGCCCCGTGATGGTCAGGGAGGCAGAGGTGCCAGACTTGGAGCCAGAGAATCGGTCAGGGACCCCTGAGAATCGACTGCTATCCTTACAGATGATGTATTTGGGGGCCTTTCCTGGGAGCTGTTGGTACCAGGACACAACGTGACTCCCAATGTTGGTGCTGCTTCCAGTGCAGGAGATGGAGACCCTCTCGCCCGGGGACCCCGACACTGAGGATGGCTGAGTCAGCACAGACTGGGCCCAGGATCCTGCAAGAGGGGGAGACACAGAGATGGTGAGTCTGGGTGTAGAGACAAGAGAAGGAAGCAGGGCCATGGGTCTTCCCAAGACCCCTTCCCCGTCCCCTTATCCAGTCACCTGTGCAGTGAGCCAGGAGGGTGAGGAGGAGAGGGGCCCAGGCCATGGTGGAGGTCATCCCTGAGTCCTGCTCCTGAGGCCCCACAGCTGAAGCAGAGCTCCCCACACCTCTCCCTTCCCCTCTTCATAGTCTGCGGGAGGGAGGGTCCTGTTATGCAAATGAGACCCCATCTATCTGATTCCTCCTGGGGCCCTGGGGCAGGTGCCTCTGCCTGAGGATGGCCCTGGGTGTGGGCGGGGCTGTGTGGGGCCTGTTGCTAAGGGAACCACAGCTGTGAGCCCTGAGAAGGGGCACCAGGTGGAGCCAGGAGGTTGGCCCCAGTCAAACCCTGCAGGTCCCTCAGGAGCGAGCCCAGGGCGCCCTCTAGTGTCCAGGCCCAGACACGCCATGGTGAGCCATGGTCACAGACCCAGGCAAAGGGGAACTTTTCCTCCATTAGGTTCACTCCATCCTACAAGTATGAGCCAATGATGCTGGGACTAGTGTCAGGGACCATCGGGGACAGAGCCTGACGGGAGTCACAAGAGGCGTGGGGGAGGTCTTGGCCCGCTGGCCAGGGGAGAAGGGCAGCTGGAAAGACCTGAAGCGTCCCCCCAGGTCCTGATGCAACAACCTGCCTGGCACTCAGGCCGCATCACAGGGAGGGGGCTCCCGCCTCAGAGTCAGAGTCACCCACAGGCAGAGGCTTCCGGGGCAGAGAGCCAGGGAGGCCCTGAGGGTGAGTCGGGGCTGCCCCAGGTGAGGGGTGGGGGCAGATGAGGAGCTGTGGGTGCCAGTTGGCATGAACCTTCTTCTTTCTTATAAGTATGCCATTGCATGCCTCTAAGCCTTTTTATTCTTTTAATATATTTATATTGGATTCAGAGAGGAAGGGAGAGGGAGAGAAAGATAGAAACATCAATGAGAGAGAATCATTCAGTGGGGGCGTCTTGCACACCCCCCACTAGAGATGGGGCCCGGCAATCGGGCAGTTGCCCTGACTGGGAATAGAACCGTGACCTTCATGTTCGTAGGTCGATCCTCAATTCCTGAGCCATGCTGGCCGGGCTGGTGGGAAACATCTTGATGATGTTGTGCTTCCAGGGCAGGTGATGGTGACCCTCTGACCCAGGGACCCCCCACCCTAACACGGAGGTTTCCTGTGCAGCCCAGGCTGCGTGGGCCCAGGCCCCTGGAATGAAGGGGAGAAAGACACCAGGATTGTGAGTCACTGAGTCTAACAACAGGCTGGGCCAGGGGGCAGGGCAGGGCCTGTGTCTTCCTGGGACCTGTTTGCAGACGTGAAGACTCAGGCGCCTGTGCAGTGAGGGAGGAGGCCGAGGTGAGAGGGGTGCAGGCCATGGTCCAAGGCTCCCCCTTCTAAGGCCCTGAGCGGGAGAGAGCACCCCATCTCTCTTATCCCTCCCCAGGCCCCAGGGATAGAAGGTCCATTCATGCAAACAGGTCCCTCCCACGGACTCTCCCAGTAACATCCTCTCTCCTGTGTCCTGGTCCTGGGATGGGGGGTGGAGGGATGAGGAGCTGGGACAGGCCTGGTCTGGGGCTCCCTCGGGGAACCCAGGAACCACCCCGCAGAGGTCACATACTACAGACAGAAGTGGGTTTCCAGCTGAGGGCGCCCAGCAGACCCTGTCCAGTGCTGTCTGACAGCGCCCCCTGCTGTCCAGGCAGGGCTTCCTCACCCAGGAGAGGGGCTGCCAGGCCCCTGCACAGAGGAACCACCTTCCTCACACTTTGCCCAGAGGCCCCGCCCCAAAGGGAACCCATCAGAGCCTCCCCTCCAGCTGCAGCCACATTCCCGCCTCAGCTTCTGTGGAAGGAAAAGGTAAGACCCACTTCAGGGCCTCTGTGCGGGTGGCATCGCCCAATTAGACAAGAGGAGGGAAGATCTCCTTTTAAAATTTAAATATGTTTTTATTGATTTTAGAGAGAGAGGACGGGAGAGGGAAAGAGAGAGACATCAATTGGGCTGGCAGGTGTGATATATTACAGTCTTCCAAGGTGGGCTCCATATTGATCCGCCCTTAATATCCTATTTTAAATTATTAGATCAACAGATAAACTCAGATTATCTCAATAGATATTCTGATAGAGCCTTTCACCGAATCTGAAACATATTTCTAATAAAAACACATACGGGTGGAAACAGTTTACAATATGGAAACCTCACTCGCTCCACAGACATGAGACTTCGTCCTACAGCAGCTCTTGGCTAATGGGTGGGAGGAGGGAATCGCCACAACCATCGGGAAGGGGTCATTGGGAGTCTTACTCCATTGTGGGTCAGCGTGACTCAGCACGTTTAGACAATGAAGGAAACAGGAAGAGACCAGTGGTTAGACCTCAGCGTGGATGGAATGGACAGGAGTCATTCCCACAGCCCCGAGGGTCTGATATACTAACCGGACAATCCATGGGCCGCGCTGCCTGTCCCTCCTGGAGCCAATTCAGCAGAGACAGGGTGGAATCATTGTGAGCGTTGATTCCCTTCCTGCTGGCTGCTGGGGAGGGCAGCGCATCACCCACAGAAACCTGCTCTGCCCCCCATAAGCCCGCTGCTTGTATTGGGGAGAAGGACAAGGATTACAGGAACCTAGGCCAAGGGTGTGCCAAATGGCAGTTCACAGGTAATGGGGGCTGGAGATTCGCAAAGGCCTGTGGGTGTGCAAAGTGCTGGTAGCTCTGGTTTCTGCAACCAGGCTGGTCATCTTTCCAGGATCACAGGCAGCTCCCTGATGGGAAGGATGGGTCCCAGGTCCCAGGTGCAACTCCCAGCCAGGTGAGAAGGTTCCTCCTTTAATCAGAACAAAACAGTCAGGGTAACAGAGCAGGATTCCTATATCTTAGAATTCCAGCGGGTCCCCTGCATTCCATTTCGTCCCCTGAGAGTACAGCCTGGGACCTAGTGGACACTATGGATGTGCTCGACTCAGACACAGCTGGACCCTGGGGCCCTGGTCCTGCCCTGACCCATCGTGGACTCGGACCCAGGGCGGCTGCCCCAGCATCCGGGAGTTTCTGCTCCATTTGAGGAAATCCAGGCTGGAGGGGAGGGGGCGGAATGGAAAGGATGGGGACAGGTTTTCTGAACCAAGTTCACTGAAGTGGGTCTCAGGCCCCGGTGTCGGGCAAGCACAGGAAGCAGCTGGGTTGTCGGAGGAGTGGGGTCTGCTAGGGGAGCCCCGATTCAAGAGGGACAGCAGGTTTTTGTCTCAGTTCCTAATAGGCCTGGAGCACTGTGTGACCTTTAAGACTCTTGTCCCATACTGAGCAGTAATAGTCAGCCTCGTCCTCAGCCAGCAGCCCCGTGATGGTCAGGGAGGCTGAGTTTCCTGACCTGGAGCCAGAGAATCGGTCCGGAATCCCTGAGGGTCGGTTGCTATTACTATAGATGATGCATTTGGGGCCCTTTCTCCTGGGAGCTGTTGGAGCCAGTCCACAGTATAACTCCCAATGTTGGAGCTGCTTCCAGTGCAGGAGATGGTGACCCTCTGGCCCGGGGACCCCGACACTGAGGATGGCTGAGTCAGCACAGACTGGGCCCAGGATCCTGCAAGAGGGGGAGACACAGAGATGGTGAGTCTGGGTCTAGAGACAAGAGGAGGAAGCAGGGCCCATGTGTCTTCCCAAGGCCCCTTCCCCGTCCCCTCATCCAGTCACCTGTGCAGTGAGCCAGGAGGGTGAGGAGGAGAGGGGCCCAGGCCATGGTGGAGGTCATCCCTGAGTCCTGCCTCCTGAGGCCCCACAGCTGAAGCAGAGTTCCCCACACCTCTCCCTTCCCCTCTTCATAGTCTGCGGGAGGGAGGGTCCCTTTATGCAAATGAGACCCCATCTCTCTGATTCCTCCCGGGGCCCTGGGGTAGGTGCCTCTGCCTGAGGATGGCCCTGGGTGTGTGCAGGGCGCGGTTGTGAGGGACCCGTTGCTAAGGGAACCACAGCTGTGAGTCCTGAGATGGGGCACCAGATGGTGCCAGGAGGTTGGCCCCAGTCAAACCCTGCAGGTCCCTCAGGAGCAAGCCCAGGGTGCCCTCTAGTGTCCAGGCCCAGACACGCCATGGTGAGCCATGGTCACAGACCCAGGCAAAGGGGACCTTTCCCTCCATTAGATTCACTCCATCCTACAAGTATGAGCCAATGATGCCAGGTCTAGTGTCAGGGACCATCAGGGACAGAGCATGATGGGAGGAGCAAGAGGCGTGGGGGGAGGTCTTGGCCCGTTGGCCAGAGGGGAAGAGCAGCTATACTTAGGAAAGACCTAAGGCGTCCCCCCAATATTCTGATGCAACAACCTTCCCGTCACTCAGGCCGCATCACTTGGTGGGGCTCCCGCCTCAGAGTCAGACGCACCCACAGGCAGAGGCTTCAGGGGCAGAGAGCCAGGGAGGCCCTGAGGGTGAGTCGGGGCTGCCCCAGGTGAGGGGTGGGGCAGCCTGAGGAGCTGTGGGTGCCAGTTGGCATGAACCTTCTTCTTTCTTATAAGTACGCCATTGCATGCCTCTAAGCCTTTTTTTAAATATATTTTTTGATTGGTTTCAGTGAGGCAGGAAGAGGAAGAGAGAGATAGAAATATCAATGGTGAGAGAGAATCATGGATCAGCTGCCTCCAGTATGCCCCCTGCTGGGGATCCAATCCACAACCCGGGCTTGTGCCTGACTGGGAATCATACGGAGACCTCCTGGTTCATAGGTCGATGCTCAACCCCTGAGCCACGCCGGCCGGGCTGGTGGGAAACATCTTGATGATGTTGTCTTCCAGGGCAGGTGATGGTGACCCTCTGACCAGGGACCCCCCACCCTAACACGGAGGTTTCCGGTGAAGCCCCGGCTGCGTGGGCCCAGGCCCCTGGAATGAAGGGGAGAAAGACACCAGGATTGTGAGTCTCTGGGTCTAACAACAGGCTGGGCCCAGGCGACAGGGCAGAGCCTGTGTCTTCCTGGGACCTGTTCCCAGATGTGAAGGTTCAGGCGCCTGTGCAGTGAGGGAGGAGGCCGAGGTGAGAGGGGTGCCGGCCATGGTGGGCGTGCTGCAGGGCTCCCCCTTCTAAGGCCCTGAGCTGGGAGGGAGCACCCCATCTCTCTTATCCCTCCCCAGGCCCCAGGGATAGAAGGTCCCTTCATGCAAACCTGTCCCTCCCACGGACTCTCCCAGAAACGTCCTCTCTGCTGTGTCCTGGTCCTGGGATGGGGGGTGGAGGGATGAGGAGCTGGGACAGGCCTGGTAGGGGCTCCCTCAGGGAACCCAGGAACCACCGGACATAGGGCACCGACTACTGACAGACATGGGTTTCCAGCTGAGGGCGCCCAGCAGACCCTGTCCAGTGCTGTGTGGCAGCGCCCCCTGCTGTCCAGGCTGGGCTTTCTCACGTGGGAGAGGGGCTGCCAGGCCCCTGCACAGAGGAACCACCTTCCTCACACTCTGCCCAGAGGCCCCGCCCCAAAGGGAACCCATCAGAGCCTCCCCTCCAGCTGCAGCCACATTCCCGCCTCAGCTAAGACTAGAGGAGGGAAGATCACCTTTTTAAATTTAAATGTTTTTATTGACTTTAGAGAGAGAGGACGGGAGAGGGAGAGAGAGAGAGAGAGAGAGAGAGAGAGAGAGAGAGAGAGATCAATTGGGCTGGCAGGTGTGATATATTACAGTCTTCCAAGGTGGGCTTCATACTGATCAGCCCTTAATATCCTATATCATATTATTAGCTCAACAGATAAACTCAGATTATCTCAATCCATATTCTGACAGAGGCTTTCACCGAATCTAAAACATATTTCTAATGAAAACTCATCAGATAGAAGCAGAGACGTTTACAATATGGAAACTTCACTCCCTCCACAGACATGAGACTTAATCCCACAGCAGCTCTTAGCTAATGGGTGGGAGGAGGACATCACAACCACCAGGAACAGGCCGTGTGACTCTCCCTCCAATAGAAGTCAACATGACTCTGCACGTTTAGACAATGAAGGAAACAGTAAGGGATCAGTGGTTAGACCTCAGCGTGGATGGGGATGGACAGGAGTCATTCCCACAGCCCAAAGGTCTGACACAGTAACCGGACAATCCATGGGCCGCGCTGCCTGTCCCTATGGAGCCAATTCAGCAGAGACAGGTTGAATCATATGAGCGTTTATTCCCTTCCTGCAGCAGCCTGGGGGAGCAGCGGGTCACCCACAGAAATCTGCTCTGCCCCCCACTCCTCGTAAACAGGCTGCTTGTATTGGGGAGAAGGACAAGGATTACAGGGGACGTAGGCAATGGGTGTGCCAAATGGGTAGTTCACAGGTAATGGGGGCTGGAGATTCGCAAAGGCATGTGGGTGTGCAAAGGGCTGGCAGCTCTGGTTTCTGCAACCAGGCTGGTCATCTTTCCATGATCACAGGCAGCTCTCTGATGAGGAGAACGGGTCACATTCTCAGGTGAGCTCCCAGGTCCCAGGTGCAACTCCCAGCCAGGTGAGAAGGTTCCTCCTTTAATCAGAACAAAGCAGCCACAGTTAACCGAGCAGGATTCGTATCTCTTAGAATTCCAGCCGGTCCCCGACATTCAATTTTGGCCCCTGTCAGTACAGCCTGGGACCTAGTGGACACTATGGATGTGCGCGACTCAGACACAGCTGGACCCTGGGGCCCTGGTCCTGCCCTGACCGATCGTGGACTCTGACCCAGGGCGGCAGCCCCAGCATCCGGGAGTTTCTGCTCCATTTGAGGAAATCCAGGCTGGAGGGGAGGGGGCGGAATGGAAAGAAAGGGGACAGGTTTTCTGAACCAAGTTCACTGAAGTGGGTCTCAGGCCCCGGTGTCCGGGCAAGCACAGGAAGCAGCTGGCTTGTGGGAGGAGTGGGGTCTGCTAGGGGAGCCCCATTTCAAGAGGGACAGTGGGTTTTTGTATCACTTCCCCACAGGCCTGCAGCACTGTGGGAGCACTGAGACTGAAGTCAAAGGACTGGCAGTAAGAGTCGGCCTCGTCCTCGGCCTGCAGCCCCGTGATGGTCAGGGTGCCTGAGTTGCCAGACTTGGAGCCAGAGAACCGGTCAGGGACCCCTGAGGGTCGTTTGCTATCCTCATAGATGAGGAGTTTGGGGGCCTTTCCTGGAACCTGTTGGTACCAGTGCACATAACCAAGCCCAATGTTGGTGCTGCTTCCAGTGCAGGAGATGGTGACCCTCTGGCCCGGGGACCCCGACACTGAGGATGGCTGAGTCAGCACAGACTGGGCCCAGGATCCTGCAAGAGGGGGAGACACAGAGATGGTGAGTCTGGGTCTAGAGACAAGAGGAGGAAGCAGGGCCTTGTGTCTTCCCAAGGCCCCTTCCCCGTCCCCTTATCCAGTCACCTGTGCAGTGAGCCAGGAGGGTGAGGAGGAGAGGGGCCCAGGCCATGGTGGAGGTCATCCCTGAGTCCTGCTCCTGAGGCCCCACAGCTGAAGCAGAGCTCCCCACACCTCTCCCTTCCCCTCTTCATAGTCTGCGGGAGGGAGGGTCCCTTTATGCAAATGAGACCCATCTCTGATTCCTCCCAGGGCCCTGGGGCAGGTGCCTCTGCCTGAGGATGGCCCTGGGTGTGTGCAGGGCGGGGCTGTGTGGGGCCTGTTGCTACTGAAACCACAGCTGTGAGCCCAGAGAAGGGGCACCAGGTGGAGCCAGGAGGTTGGCCCCAGTCTAACCCTGCAGGTCCCTCAGGAGCGAGCCCAGGGCGCCCTCTAGTGTCCAGGCCCAGACACGCCATGGTGAGCCATGGTCACAGACCCAGGCAAAGGGGACCTTTCCCTCCATTAGATTCACTCCATCCTACAAGTTTGAGCCAATGATGCTGGGACTAGTGTCAGGGACCATCGGGGACAGAGCCTGATGGGAGGAGCAAGAGGCGTGGGGGGAGGTCTTGGCCCGCTGGCCAGGGGGGAAGGGCAGCTGGAAAGACCTGAGGCGTCCCCCCAGGTCCTGATGCAACAACCTGCCCGGCACTCAGGCCGCATCACAGGGAGGGGGCTCCCCCTCAGAGTCAGCATCACCCACAGGCAGAGGCTTCGGGGGCAGAGAGCCAGGGAGGCCCTGAGGGTGAGTCGGGGCTGCCCCAGGTGAGGGGTGGGGCAGCCTGAGGAGCTGTGGGTGCCAGTTGGCATGAACCTTCTTCTTTCTTATAAGTATGCCATTGACTGCCTCTAAGCCTTTTTTAAAATATATTTTCTATTGGTTTCAGTGAGGCAGAAACATCAATGGTGAGAGAGAATCATGGATCTGCAGCCTCCTGTATGCCCCCTGCTGGGGATCGAATACACAACCTGGGCCTGTAACCTGACTGGGAATCGAACCATAACCTCCTGGTTCAGAGGTCTAAGCTCAACCCCTGAGCCACGCCGGCCAGGTGGTGTGAAAGGTCTTGATGATGTTGCTGTCTCCAGTTCAGGTAATGGTGACCCTCTGACCCAGGGACCCCTGACACGGAGGTTTCTGTATCATATTATTAGGGCAACATTTAAACTCATATTATCTCAATCGATATTCTGACAGAGCCTTTCACCGAATCTAAAACATATTTCTAATAAGAACACCTCAGATAGAAGCAGAGACGTTTGCAATATGGAAACTTCACTCGCTCCACAGACATGAGACTTCGTCCTACAGCAGCTCTTAGCTAATGGGTTAGGAGGACATCACAACCACCAGGAACAGGCCCGTGGGACTCTCACTCTGCTATGAGTCAGCATGACTCAGCACGTTTAGACAATGAAGGAAACAGGAAGAGACCAGTGGTTAGACCTCAGCCTGGATGGAATGGACAGGAGTCATTCCCACAGCCCCGAGGGTCTGATATACTAACCGGACAATCCATGGGCCGCGCTGCCTGTCCCTCCTGGAGCCAATTCAGCAGAGACAGGGAGGAATCATATGAGTGTTTATTCCCATCCTGCCGGCAGCTTGGGAGAGCGACGGGTCACCCACAGAAATCTGCTCTGCCCCCCATAAGCCCGCTGCTTGTATTGGGGAGAAGGACAAGGATTACAGGGACGTAGGCAAAGGGTGGGCCAAATGGGCAGTTCACAGGTAATGGGGCCTGGAGATTTGCAAAGGCCGGTGGGTGTGCAAAGGCTTTGCAGTTCTGGGTTCTGCAACAAGGTTGTTAATCTTTCTATGATCACAGGCAGCTCCCTGATGGGGAGAACGGGTCACATTCACAGGTGAGCGCCCAGGTCCCAGAAGCAACTCCCAGCCAGGTGAGAAGGTGCCTCCTTTAATCAGAACAAAGCAGTCACGGTGAACAGGGCAGGGTTCATATTTTTAGATCTCCAGCTGGTCCCCTACATTCCATTTCGGCCCCTGTCAGTACAGCCTGGGACCTAGTGGACACTATGGATGTGCTCGACTCAGACACAGCTGGACCCTGGGGCCCTGGTCCTGCCCTGACCCATCGTGGACTCTGACCCGGGGCGGCTGCCCCAGCATCCTGGAGTTTCTGCTCCATTTGAGGAAATCCAGGCTGGAGGGAGGGGGCGGAATGGAAAGAATGGGGACATGTTTTCTGAACCAAGTTCACTCAAGTGGGTCTCAGGCCCCAGTGTCCCGGCAAGCACAGGAAGCAGCTGGCTTGTCGGGGGAGTGGGGTCTGCTAGGGGAGCCCCATTTCAAGAGGGACAGCAGGTTTTTGTCTCAGTTCCTCACAGGCCTGCAGCACTGTGGGTCCGCTGATACTGCTGTCCCACCCTGAACAGTAATATTCAGCGTCATCCTCAACCTGCAGCGCCGTGATGGTCAGGGTGGCTGAGCTGCCAGACCTGGAGCCAGAGAATCGATCAGGGACCCCTGAGAGTCGGTTGCTATTATCATAAATGATGCATTTGGGGGCCTTTCCCGGGAGCTGCTGGTACCAATACACATAGTTACTCCCAATTTTGGAGCTGCTGTCAGTGCAGGAGATGGTGACCCTCTCGCCCGGGGCCCCCAACACTGAGGATGGCTGAGTCAGCACAGGCTCGGCCCAGGATCCTGCAAGAGGGGGAGACACAGAGATGGTGAATCTGGGTCTAGAGACAAGAGGAGGAAGCAGGGCCATGTGTCTTCCCAAGGCCCCTTCCCCGTCCCCTCATCCAGTCACCTGTGCAGTGAGTCAGGAGGGTGAGGAGGAGAGGGGCCCAGGCCATGGTGGAGGTCATCCCTGAGTCCTGCTCCTGAGGCCCCACAGCTGAAGCAGAGCTCCCCACACCTCTCCCTTCCCCTCTTCATAGTCTGTGGGAGGAAGGGTCCTGTTATGCAAATGAGACCCCATCTCTCTGATTCCTCCTGGGGCCCTGGGGCAGGTGCCTCTGCCTGAGGATGGCCCTGGGTGTGTTCAGGGCGGGTGTGTGGGGCCTGTTGCTAAGGGAACCACAGCTGTGAGCCTGAGAAGGGGCACCAGGTGGTGTCAGGGGGCTGGTGCCAGGAGGTTGGCCCCAGGTCACACCACAGGCCCCTCAGGAGGGAGCTCAGTGCGCCCTCTAGTGTCCAGGCCCAGACACACCATTGAGTGACATGGGGGCCAGAACCCATGGAGGCCACCTCTGCCTTCCCACTGCTCTGCCCACTGCCCCTGCCCTAGGGCCAGGCCAGGGTCCCCTCTATGGCCTCCCCTCACCTTGGGGCACCTTCAGTCTCTACTCGGCGTCCTCAGGGGGAGTCTGACCACAGCTCCTGGTCTGGTCAGTGGTCAGGACTGAGGTGGGGTCTCTGACATAAACTCTACACCAGTGTCGGGTCCAGAGCAGTGACCAACCCCATGGAGGCATGTTCCCTTCTGTGCAGGACATGGCTTCTTTCCTCTCTGGTGGCTGGAGGTCTCCTTCCTATGCCTTCCCAGCCTAACTGAAGAGCAAGGGGACCTTCTCTAGGTTTGGGGAGGTGGCGGAGAGAAAGCCCTCATGTGCCTTCGTGGTGGGCGATGCTGGGTAATACTTGATCACCTGTCAATATGTCCACCTACAAGAAACCATCGCTCTCCACGAACCGTGGGCTGTGGTTCACTCCTAGGATCTGTTCTCAACTCTCAGTCAGACGTGGGCTTTTACATGAGAGAGGAAAACAGGAAATGCAGAAAATTCTAGGCAGAATTTTTAAATTTCTGTGCTAAAGGTTTATTTTAAACCTTTATATATTAGTCACCACTCACCCAACTTAAAATGCATGTATGTTATTATATGTAAAAGTCATAATAAGGCTGATTTGAAAATTCTAGGATCATGCAAATTGGAAATTGTGGGCGGAGGAACTGATGGAAAAGCATTGGTAACGGAACGCCTTCTGCTCCGGGTTGAAAGCTGTGAATTGACGTTTTCTAACATCACTTTACATTTCAGTGGTGAGTTGGGAGCTGTGCCCTGTGGTCGGGTCCTTATGGTTGGAAATCCCCAGTCGCTGCCCAGTGACCCCCACGAGGAGTTTCTAGGAGCTTCCATCCGTCCCAGGAACAGAAGCACCTGCCACAGGCAGAGCTCCCAGGACACAGCGGTGTCGGCTCTAGGCCTGTCACTGGGCGGCACAGCCACAGGCGCTGCCCCTGGTGTCCAGCGTCCGCAGGACAGAACTCGTTCCCTCAGCCCCCCAGTGGCCCTCTGGTTCTGTCCCGGGAGAACCCTAACTCATACACAGCCTTTCCCGCTGGCCTTTGCACTGGCCTGTTCTGCGGAACAGTCTCTGCTAAGGGGAAGCAAAGGGAAGTCTGTGCTCTGTGTCCTACACAGTCCCTGAGGGCTCACAGTCACAGGAAGCGAAGGAGCAGGAATACCACATCCCGCCATGCATCCCTGCTCCTTCTCAATGCCCCATAGGCCAGGCCCCCTGCACCCCGTCTGTCCCCGGGGAGACCCCCACTCTTCCCAGGAGAAGTCAGGGCAGATCTGGAAGTGAATGGCGGTTTTCCGAGAAAGGCCTTCAACTTTCCATCCTGGATTCACAGACGCGGGTTCCCTTGACCAGCCTTGGGAATGCAGGCAGGAACCCCGAGACCATTTCTGAGCCACTGGGTCGCAATCCTTACTCAGCAAGATGCAGATCACAGAGTCCTACACGGGAGTGAGGCGAAATCACACACATGTCACCGCAGGTGCACACTGCAGGCTCCGCACCCAGGGGTACCTATCTTGGGTCTCCTGCACCCACACACTGTCCCTCGGCCCTCGGGGCAGCGTCTCCCCACCTGGTCTGCGTCTCTCCTGACACTAAAGCTGCAGCCCTTGTCTCACCTCGACGTGGTTCCTGTAACTTCGCATCTGCTCCCCCCGCGGCCCCTTCCCCAGGTGCCGGCAGGTCACATGGAGCCAGAGGGTTACTCCAGGACCATTGTTTCTTTTATAGCTTTTCTTACAGCTTCCACATTCCCGCTGAAATGTTCTACCTCATTCTTCACTGAAAGTGTGTTCTACCTGAAGACCTTGCAGTTATTATTTATTCAGTTTTGGGGAAACTGTTATCGTAACTACACTGAGTATGTTGAACCACAAAGTGGGATGTCTACTTAAGTTTAATGTTCTTGCCCCGGCTGGTGTTCTCAATGGTTAGAGCATTAGCCCAAGCACTCAAGGTTCACAGGTTCAATTCCTGGTCAAGGGCATGCACCAGTGTTGTAGGCTCAATCCCTGGCCTGGTTGGGGTGCATGCGGAAGGCAACCAATGGATGTTTTTCTCTCTCTCTCTCTCTCCTTTTTTTTTCTCTCTCTCCCTCTTTCTCTCTCCCCCTCCCTCCCACCATTACAATTACACTCTCTCTGGAAACCAATGGAAAAAATATTCTTGGGTGAGGGTTAACAAACAAAAAATAGTTTAATTTCCTTGTCATGTTTTACACTTTTCATTTCCTTGTCATGTTTTACACTTTTCATTATATAAGACTCCCTCCCCCCACCCCCAGATTTTATGTTGTTACAAATCACACTGTAACAAAAGCCAAACTCAGGAGACAGGTGATGGTGCAAAAGGAAAGTGGCTTATTCAGGTGATGTGCAACCTGGGAGGATGGCAGGCTCCTGTCTCAAAAATCACCTCCACTTCCTGCTCAAGCCTGCCGTTCATCTATATATATAAAAGCCCAAGCCATCAGACTACCGGTAGCTATGACACGCACAGACCACCAGGGGGCACACGCTCAACGCAGGAGCTGCCAAGCTACAGTGACTTGGCAGCTGCGGTTCTGGGGTTATGCAGCCGGAACCAGAGAGGAGGGAGCCTGATTCCGGGGTGCGTCACCCGAGAACTGCCCCCTCACAATATGGGACCCCCCGGGGGATGTCGGAGAGCCAGTTTCAGCCCAATCCCCACAGGCCAGGCCGAGAGACCTGGATTCGTGCACTGGGCCTCTAGTATAGTGATAAGGAGGGGAAGTTGTGTGTTTTTTTGCTATCCAATTATCTTGCTTGCTTTCAGTGCACTGGGGGATGTCCATTCATGTTTCTAGCTGTTGGCATGCTCAGTGTAAGAACCTCCCCCGGAGCCATCTTGGCCAATGTGGGAGACTCCCCGGTGCTCCCTGTCTATGGTTGTGGGGAGGAGAGGGCTTCAGGAACCACCTCCAGAAGCTTGGAGATGCCACATGCCTCATCCCACCTCTAGACCCGGACACGGCGCCTGCATAACCGCGGAGCCAGTTGGAGTCCGTGGGGCACTCCTGGTGCTTCGTTGAGTCTGAGTAGTAGGATAGCAGGTACCGGGGAGGGCTCCCTGGCTTCTGCCTCGTGGAGGGAGAGAACTCTGTCCACTTTCATCCCACGGGCACACGCGCCACAGCGGTGGGGTCCTCGGGTTCCGGAACCACAGGGCACGCGGCGGGCACACAGCCCCCTTCTTCCTGCAACTCCCACCACAGCCACCATCCGGAGTGGTGCCTGGTCTGGGCGTTTCCCTGGGGGTCATCAGGCTCACTGTCATTTCAAGAGAAAATGGGCAGCTCTGAGGTGTGATCACAGATGGATGAACAGGCAACATTTCAGCGTCGTCACGATTTTTTGTTGTTGTTGTATTTCTGTTTCATTTGTCCTTAGGCTTCAGAAACGGCCATGGAGAAATGGGAGTGGGCCCATCAGACGCAAACCATGCGTGGGTTAATAGAGTGTGCACATGTGCGAGCTACTGTTAAATGTTTACGTGGCCACGAGACAAGCAGGCCGAGGTTTTTGTCCCACTTCCCCATCCGGGTGGGTCACCGTGGGAAGCGCCACCGTGGGAGATCAGACAGTAATAGTCGGCCTCGTCCTCGGGCTGCAGCCCCGAGATGAGCAGGAGCCCCGCATTGGCCGAGGCGTCCTTGGACCCAGAGAAGCGGCTGGGGACCCCGGAGCCCAAACTTGGACTTGAGGAGTAAGTCAGGAGGTACCGGGGAGGGCTCCCTGGCTCCTGCTGGAACCAGAATATGGTTTTATTAACAGCACTGACGTCACTTTTCAAGGTGCAGGGGAGTCTGGCTGTGGCTCCCAGAGATGCAGAGAGGGAGGGCGGCTGAGTCAGCACAGGCTGGGAGAGGGACCCTGTGGAAACAGACACATGGGGGTGAGAAGAAGGGTCGGGGGGCAGGTGCTCTGGGTCCCCGAGGCCTGTCCCTACCTGTGCAGTGAGCGAGGAGCACGAGGAGCACAGGGGTCCAGGCCATGGTGAGCGCAGCCCGTTCCCAGGACACAGAGCTGGGGCTGGTCTTCCCAGACCTCTCTTATCCCCTCCCAGCTGGTCTCCCAGAGGAGGGGCTGCTCCTCTCTTATCCCCTCCCAGCTGGTCTCCCAGAGGAGGGGCTGCTCATGCAAATGTGCCCCAGGCCCTGCCCCTCTATCAGAGGAGGGGCTTCTCATGCAAATGTGCCCCAGGCCCCACCCCTCTGTCAGAGGAGGGGCTTCTCATGCAAATGTGCCCCAGGCCCCGCCCCTCTCCCAGGGTCACTGCCATTTATGACACAGGAACAGCCTGGCCTGTGTCTTCCTGCTGAGACCCGAGTGCCCACAGCGTATCTCCCAGCCTGAACGTACAAGGAGGGTGGAGGGCAGAGTGAGGAACATGAGAGACAGTGGGTCACATTTCCATCCTTTTCTGGTCCTACTTGGACCCCACATCTCCCAGCCATGGGGTGACATTGTGACTAAGCCCAGTTCCCACTGGACAGGCCCTGTTACCTAAACCAGCAGACAATCCC